AAAAAAAAAAAAAAAAAAAAGACATCTCACCATAAAAGCGCTGAAAAATTAGCAGCATGATCTAAAATATGATGTACCTCTCTCACCTGGACAAAACCACATGATCAGCTTACTAGGTGCAATATTTCTTAAGGAAATACTTAAGAAAATTCAACACTCCTTCCTGATTATTATTTTTTCTTTTTTTTTTTTTTGAGACAGAGCTTCACTCTGTTGCCCTGGCTAGAGTCCCATGGTGTCATAGCTCACAGCAACTTCAAACTCCTAGGTTCAAGTGATCTTCTTGCTTCAGCCTCCCAAGTAGCTGGGACTACAGGCGCCTGCCACAGTGCCCAGCTAGTTTTCCTATTTTTAGTAGAGATGGGGTCTCCCTCTTGCTCAGGCTGGTCTCAAACTCCTGAGCTCAAAGAATCCATCCATCTTGGCCTCCCAAATTGCTAGGATTACACACATGAGCCACCGAGACCGGCCACTCCTTCCTGACTCAAAAAACAACCCAAGAAACTAAAAATAGACAGAAACTTCCCCAACCTCTTAACCTGATAAAGAGCATCTGTGAAAAACTCACAATTGGTGTCATATCTAGTGGTGAAATACTGAATGATTCTCCATCTACACTGCCCCAAGATAAAACACAAGAAGAATGTGTCCACTCCCTCCGTTTCTATTCAGTGTTGTACCAGAGTAGACACTCCGGCAGTAGTAGCTGGGACTGCAGGCACCCTCCACAATGCCCAGCTATTTTTTTGCTGCAGCTTTCATTGTTTCACTGGCCTGGGTCAGTTTTGAACCCGTCAGCCTCGATGTATGTGGCTGACACTGTAACCACTGTGCTATGGGCACTGAGCCTGAGATTTCTTTGAAAAACATTTCAGATTAATGTGAGGGTACCAATGATTGATTAGGTTACATTATTTAATTAGGTAAAGTCCAAGTTGTACTTGCGTCCCTCCCCCAGGTGTGCCATATACTTGTCCATTGTGCCTGGGAGGTGAGGGCATCCCGATCATCCTCCCACCTCCCCTCTCCTCCCTCCCTCCCACTTGAGCTTAATTGTTTTTCTCTTGAGTGGGTATTTGTTCCTCAATTTGTTTCATATTGATATTGAGCATATTGGATACTCCCTTTTCCATTCTCGTGGTACTTTACTGAGCAGAATGTTCTCCAACCTCCTTGCAGGTTTAATGGTGAGATTTCAGGCATCGTAATTAGCCAGTGTGGGGAAAGGAGGCTGTTTCTGGGAGGAAATCAGCTGGGCAAACATGTGCTCTGGCATTGACCAGGACAGCCCCCAGCCCTCAGCCTAGGGGGACCAGACTCACAGTTGGAAATAAACTTCATTAAGCACAGTAAAGATAAGTTGTAGTTTAATGCCCAACTATCACAACACGAGGAGGCTTACATGGTGCTCATCGAGGAGGCAAGAACCAGGTAAGACCAGGCCAGGGACAAATGACTCGTACAGGGAGCAGTTTCCCTCTGGCCCAGCTCACCCTCCAGATAAATGTGCCACATACAAGGCTTCTTCATGTCACCCTGGAGCCAGCAGGCTGGCCAAGCTGTGGCCACCATGGTCTTTGAGGGTTCTCATGGGAGAATGGGAGCCCCAGGATGAGGGGGGGACCTCAGTATACAATGACAAGAACCAGAAAGCTGCTTCCAAACAACCCCAAAAGGCTTTCACTTCAAATTCGCTAAGCCACACAGCACTGAGATGCTGAAGCACCCAAACTCACTCACTAAAGCTCTAAACGCGGTGCAGAACTGAGGCTGAAAACAAAGTCAGAACCATCCGAAAGCCAGTTTCGTGAGCTTCACCACATCCCTCTTCTTCCCTCTACCTATGTCAGCCGCCCGACTGGACGTCTCTGGAAAAGGGATACTTCTTCTGGCCCAAGAAGCTGAGGCAAGAGGATCACTTGAGCCCAAGAGTTTAAGGCTGCTGTGAGCTATGACACCAAGTCACTCTACCTAGGGTGATAATGAGACGGTCTCAAAAAAAAATTTTTTTTAAAAAAGGAAGTCTCTTTGAATCTTCAATTTTGCTGAACAGTTCTGCTGGGCTCCCTGAAGCCCTTGAGCTTTGATGTCCCTGGGGACATGAGCAAATCGGGGACTGCTGGTAGGGCTGGGAAATTTCTAGGCAGAAAATTAAAACTTGGCTCCATGCCCATGGTTCAGAGGTTAGGGCGCTAGCCACATACACCCGGGCTGGTGGGTTTGAACTCAGCCTGGGCCTGCTAAACAACGACTACCAAAAAAAAAAAAAAAAGTCAGGCATTGTGATGGGTGCCTGTAGTCCCAGCTACTTGAGATGCTGACACAAAAGAATCTCAAACCCAAGAGTTTCAGATTGCTGTGAGCTGTGATGCAACAGCACTCTACCAAAGGCAACAACAACAACAACAAAAAATTAAAACTAGTCTCCTGCCCTGGTTTTACAGTTTACCTGGCCCCTAAAGGAAATACCACTTAAAATGGCATCCTGAAAACACTCCATGGAACTTGAGAGGTTTCAAGTGCCACTGGCAAGGAAGAGGCATGAGCTTGTTTTCCACACCAAGCCTGAGGCTGAGCCTGGGAGGGCCAGCCCCTTGGCCAGGCCTGACGTGGAAGGGACAGCACAGAGGAGACAGAGGTGGCTGCTCAGGACACAGGCCATGGGACCCGAGGCAGCCCCTCCGTCTATCCCTGTGGATGGGCATTTGGGAGAGTGTGCCTGAATTCCAGCCAGATGCCAGTGTTAAACTCAGCCCCAATGGGTCCCACAGGCCTCTTCGCCCTTTTCTCCAATTTAGCTCTATGAGAAACCTCCAGACAGAGCCCAAGGCAGGGGAGTCAAACATCTCTGTCCTCAGAGATGGCACATAGCTACATGGCAACTTAGAGGAGACCTTAGAATAGCAATGCTGTCTCCAGGTCCCCTTGCCCAAACAAGGTCCCATGCAGCACCCTAGTCCCCACCCAAGGGCCTAGGTGGTCCCAGAACTTCAACATGGGCTTCTAAGAAATCTCCTATGAGTATCTGGGGAGGGAAGACAGAAGCCAATTCTGCAAAGTGTACAAAAACAGGGCTACCCATTTACAGAGCAGGGTAGCTGTGACCTGCTGACTGTTCCTGGGAGGGGGCTAAGCTGGGGGCCCAGGAAGGTGAGCAAATGTCCTTAGTGACAGTAGTTCACACCGGGCCCCTCCTCTACACAAGCCCACCTCCCAACTTTCAGATACCAGTCAGCTCAGGGACAGCCCAGCAAAGCTGACTTCGTCTCTCAAACAAACATAATGCTACAAACTTTACGGGGGAAAAGTGCTACCCAGCTGAGACCCCAAGGAAACGTAGCTCCCTGCTGCCTCTCCCCAGAAGGCACAGTGATGGCTCAGCCCACAGCATCCAAATCCAAGTCTAGGTAGGGAGAGGTCGAAGGGACCATGTGGCATGCTGAAGCCACTGGGGGGATAGGATGAAACTGAAAGATCTTTTCAAGACCCCCAAGCCTAATGAGTTCACATAAATCCATCTTCCCAGTAGCTGCAAAGGGCTAGTCTGCCACCAAGATCCTTCCCTCTCACCTACCTCTTTAGCATTCTAGTGACAAAAGGAGCAAACATGCCACCAAGCCTTGGTCACCGCTGTCCTTGGGTCTGACTGAGAGCTGGGGGCAAGGGGAGGCCCTTAAAGAATCACCCCCTTCAACAAACATGGCAAAAATATCCTCCCAGGGAAGCAGAGGACGAAACCAGCAACTACAAGGGGAAGCATTCGGCAGTTTCTTGTTTTAACCTCACCCTTCTGGAGGGTGGAGCTGCCTCTGCCTCCAGGTCCTCGGTGTAAAACGGCCCTAAGTTCCAATTCTGCTGATTGCCCAGAAAGATCATTTTTATGTTCTAAGAGGTGGGAGAAGTAAGAAATTCCACAGGAAAGGGGGTCTTTGTAACGGGCTGCTCCGATTTCCACAGGAGCCTCAGAGCTGCCTGCCCTGGAATGGCTCCCTAGAACCATCTCTGGGACAGGAGGTTCTCAAATCGGGAGGCCTAAGTGCAATTAGTTAGCATCCGGCAGACTGGGCGGCCCTCAGAGACCAACTCCCAGGGCTGCGGGGAGTGTTGACCTGGGCCCCTGGAAGCCCAGGCTGGCCCTGGGACCACAACAATGATAGGTGCCCACGGGCCTGAGGAGCAGTCTCACTAAAAACTAGAACCATCTCCCTGCTAAAACTCAGGGAGGACAAACAAAACTCAATCTGAAATAAATACAAAGGCATTAAGTGCTTCTTGGTAAGTTGAGGGTCCTAATTACCCCTCAAAAGGAGGTAGCAGGGCCCTTCCCTGGACCTGGTCACCTCACCTAGTCCTTCACTGAGAAGTCAGAGGTCAGAAGACTGAAGGGGCCTTCCCTAGCCCAGCTTGTGTTGGGAAGGACAGGCCCCAACCCCTGACCGACTCCTCACCCGTATCTTCCTCATCTCCCCACACAGCTTCTGACAGCAGGGAGTCGCGAAAGGAGACCCCACACCCTGAGGACAGCACCTCGTGTCCAATGCCCCTGTGTGGGCAGAGGGCCTGCCAGCCTGTCTGTGAGGAGGTAGAGACAGGAACAAGGCTGCTGGGGTAGACACGGTCGCTCAGTTAATCAATAGGTCCCCAAGGTCATAGGAGTCAAAGAGGTCGCTGATGCCTTCACCCCCATCCAGGCCCCACAGGTAGTCGTCCTGGTCCAAGGGTGGGGAGAAGCTGATCAGAGGGGAGCTGCACGCTGCGGTTGGGGACAGGAACTGGTCCTCTGTCTGCTGCAGGAGTGGGTGTGGCAGCTCTGGCATACTGTCAGTGGCCTCCAAGGGGACAAGGGATGGCGGCGGCGGCGGTGGCGGTGGGATCTGCTGGAGTGCTGAAAACAAATAGACACGGGTCATATGTGGCCTTGGTGCCCAAACCCCTCTGGAGCTGAAGTTTGGCCTTAGAACTTCACAAGAACATATTTCTAGCTCTCTGGACAACTGTGCACCCTTCTCTCTCCTCAGCCTGCCCCACACTAACAGCACAGGGACACTTCCCTTTTCCAGCACCTTCCTCATCCTCCCACTCCCTCTCCCCTCCCACCTCTCCTCTTACAGGGGGTAAATGTCCTGCTCCCAAAATCCACCTCCAGCCTCTACACCCCTCCAACTCACCTCTGTGTCTTTTCACCTTCAAGGACCTTATCCCTAAAATAGTTGCCTCTCTTTCCTGTATCATCCACTTCTCTCACTCTACTAGATCATTCTCATCAACACGTAGGCATACGCTAATAACTAGTATCTTTAAAAAGCATCCTCCCTTAAAGGACAGTCCTTTTGGCTTGGCACCTGTAGCTCAGCAGCTAGGGCACCAGCCACATACACCAGAGCTGGCGGGTTCGAACCCGGCCCGGGCCTGCCAAACAGCAACGACAACTACAACCACAAAATAGCCGGGCGTTGTGGCGGGCACCTGTAGTCCCAGGTACTTGGGAGTCTGAGGCAAGAGAATTGCTTAAGCCCAAGAGTTGGAAGTTGCTGTGAGCTGTGATGCCATAGCACTCTACTGAGGGCAAAAGTAAGACTCTGTCTCAAAAAGAAAAAGGGCAGTCTTTTCAGTAAATAGTGCTGAGAAAACTGGACATCCACATGCAAAAGAATAAAGCTGGACCCTTACCAAAGACCATATATAAAAATTAATTCAAAATGAATCTAAGACCTAAACGTAAGACCTGAAACTACAAATCTCTTAGAAGAAAACACAGAACAAAAGCTTTTTTTTTTTTTGTAGAGACAGAGTCTTTCTTACTTTATCACCCTCAGTAGAGGGCCATGGTGTCACACAGCTCACAGCAACCGCCAACTCCTGGGCTTAGGCAATTCTCTTGACTCAGCCTCCCAGGTACCTGGGACCACAGGCGCCTGCCACACAACGCCCAGCTATTTTTTTGTTGCAATTTGGCTGAGGCTGGGTTTGAACCCGCCACCCTCGGTATATGGGGCCAGCGCCCTACCCACTGAGTCACAGGTGCCGCCCAATAAAAGCTTCATGATGTTAGATTTGGCACCAGGCCTGGTGCAATAGGTGCTCAGTTCACATTAGCGTTGTAAAAAATCACGTGGGGCACAGTGGCTCACTCCTGTAATCCCAGCACTCTGGAGGCCAGGGTCAGTGGATATACTTAGCTTAGGAGGTAGAGACTAGCCTAAGCAAGAGTGAGACCCCATCTCTAAAAATAACTGGCTTAGTGGTGGGCACCGGTAGTCCTAACTACTTGGGAGGCTGAGGCAAGAATATCAATTGAGCCCAGGAGTTTGAGGTTGCTATGAGCTATGATGCCACAGCACTCTATCTAGGGTTACAGTGAGATTCTGTCTGAATAAATAAATAAAATCACATTCATTCTGTATCATCTCCCATAACCCACTCAACATGTGTGAAGAAATTCTAAGTGTCCCCCTTTTAGAGATGTGGGGCCTGAGGCTTAGGGAGGTTAACGTGACTTGCCACAGTCACCAAGTCACTAAGAGATGAGGTACAATCTTGAACTCAACTCTCCCCATTTCAAATCCTGTGCCAACAGCTACCTCCGAATGTCAGAACCTAGAGGGACGTCAGAGGTGACCCTTGTTCAAACCCCTTCCCTTACAGATGAAGAAAACCAAGGCTACAAAGGGTTAACGATTCCGCTGGTGATGCCAGGACTGCAGTGGCCTCTGCTATGGGCCCGGCCTCTGGTGCTCAGACCCCAAAATGACTCTGCTTCAGGCCAGAAAATGGAACGTGTATGTACACTCTCAGGAAAATGTCCCCCTGCTCCCTTCGAGATGACACTAGCTCACATGGTGAGGGTGGAGGGGACAGCTGTGGCATGAGAGCTGGCCCCACTGACTGTTCTGTAAGCTTCTACTCCTGTCTGGATCTCAGGCTCTTCATCTGTAAAACGGAGGTAAAAAGTTCACCGTTGCTTACGCTGTGGACCTACCTGCCCAGATTTCAGAGGACAGCTGAAGTGCAAATGGTTCTAACTTTGGAGAGCTGTGCACATGTTGACAGTTCAGTGAGGAAGCAGAGCAGGAGGGGGAGCCCAAGGGTGGGGCACAGGTCTGGGATGGGAGATAGGCACTAGGGAGGTGCCCAGAGGGACAGATGGCTGGCACAGGGAGAAGCCCTGGTTTCTGGGTGAGGCTGACAGTCACAGGAGAGGTTCCTAGAGAAGAGTTGGGAGTCTGGGCTCTTGTCCCAACCCACCCACCAACATGCTGTGTGACCTTATGGAAGCCACTTGCCCTCTCTGAGCCTGTTTATTCACACGTAAAAAGAAGGATGCCATTAGATTAGAAGTCAGCAAACTTCTGTAAAGAGCTGGACAGTATTTTAGGCTTTACGGGACATTTGTGGTCTCTGGGCAAGAGTGAGATCCCTGTCTCTGCTAAAAGTAGAAAAACTAGCTGGGCGTCAGGTGGGCATCAGTAGTCCCAGCTACTCAGGAGACTGAGGCAAGAGGATTGCTTGAGCCCAGGAGTTTGAGGTTCATTTTGTTGTTGTTATTGTTGAGAGTCTCGCTTTGTCACCCTGGGTAGAGAACAGTGGTATCACAGCTCACAGCAACCTCAAACTCCTGGGCTCAAGCAATTCTCTTGCCTCAGCTTTCCAAGTAGCTGGGACTACAGGTGCCCACCACAATACCCAGCTATTTTTAGAGACAGGGTCTTGCTCTAGCTCAGGCTGTGTCTCAAACTCGTGAGCTCAGGTAATCCACTTGCCTTGGCCGCCCAGAGTGCTGGGATTATAGGCATGAGCCACCATGCCTGGCCTGAGTTTGAGGTCCTTATGAGCTATGACACCATGGCACTCTACCAAGGATGATAGAGTAAGATGCTGTCACAAAAAAAAAGAAAATTGCTGTAAGGAATAATACGATCATGAATATACCTGGTACACATAGTTCAAATATTAGTTATAGCCTAAGAAAGTTTTGAGTCCTCCTCAGAAAACAGTTTCCATTTATTCTAGATTTTTTTTTTTTTTTTTGCAGTTTTTGGCCGGGGCTGGGTTTGAGCTCACCACCTCCGGCATATGAGGCTGGCACCCTACTCCTTTGAGCCTAAGGTGCCGCCCCATTTATTCCAGATTTACAGAGTGCTAGAGCTTTGCCGTTAGCAGTTGTTAAAGTTGTCACAGTATTATACTAGCGGTCATGGCGGTAATGACAATGGTAGCTAACCATTATTGCCAGGCACTGTTCCAAGTGCTTAGCTCGTATTAACTCATCAATCCTCACAACCTATGAGTTACATACTATTACTTACTATGCCCAACCTATAGATGAAGAAATTGAAGCAAAGAGGTGAAGTAACTTGTCCAAGTTCCCATAGCTGGTAAGTGGAAGAGCTGGGATTCCAATCCAGGCCCTCCTCTGCCCCAGAGCATCATCAGCCTCCCCAGTGAGGCTTTATAAAGTGTGAAGAGGATGAATGTACCCCCAGCTGCTAGGTAGACAGTAGGCATCTAATGCATATTGACGTGGAAGAGAACACTAAGGCCAATGGCTGTTCCCACCTCGTGTCAGGGGGCCCTACCTGAGGATGCTCTGGGTTCCATCATCCTAGGGTGGGTGCTGCTGCTGGGCTGGGCGGAGTCAGGGCTAGGGCTGAGGGTGGCAGTGGAGGGGAGGGGCTCCTTGGCAGGGCTGTCTGGCTCCTGCTCCTCTGGGCACAGGTAGACTTCGATGGGCCCTTGGGTGCTCTTGAGATAGATCTGCAGGTTCTCCTGGAGGAGGAAGAGAAGCCAGGTCATGGCTCTGGGCAGCTGGACACTGACCTGCGTGTTGATATGTAGATGGACATGGGTGGCTGCTGCCATTCAGGTGTGGAAGCCCAACGCCTGAGCTGGGCAGAGGCCTGCTCCAGGTGGACTCTGCTCTCTGGCCCCAAGTCCTCTTCTTTTAAGGAGAACACCTTGACATTCCTTGAGAAATCACTCTTCCCGCACTCCTAGGTCATGTAGTTTGAGAGCCATACCCTTCCCCAACTCCAGTGGGTGACTTTTGATGCAGCCAAGAAAGTCAGAGTGATGTGAGTGGCTCAGGATGGCATGTGGCTCAGGTTGACTCAAGCATTAGGCCCAGAACTTTCGCTGGACTTGTGGGAAAAGGAAGCTCCTTCCCACTGGGAGTGTTGAGCTGGTATCAAAAAAGCTCAGTCTGTCACTGCAATGGGAGGGCTCATCTGGAAATGGATAGAGTCAGCATGGAGAAAAGTAGAGTGAAAGATGGAGAGTATGAGACAGATCCTAAGTCACAGTTCAAGCACCTACAGCCAGTCTTGCCTCCAATCTCCAAATCTCTCTCTCACCCCCACCCCTTGGACTTGTCGCTTGGTTCCCACCACCCCTTAATCCAGCTGGACTTGGCTTTCTACTTGTAACCAAGAATCCTGATACTTGGCCTTCCCACCCTGTCTCTTCCTTACCACATACCTGAAAATTAAGCCACAACTGACCATGCATGTGCTATCCCAGCACACGATCAAAGTATTCACCCCTCTGTTCATGCCCCTAGCAAAAATTCTATTCCTTCTTTAAGACCCAGTTTGACTGTCACCATCTGGGCTGCTTCCTCTATTCTGTGTGCTCTCAGACCACATCTTCAGCCTATAAGTGACAGTATCATTGTTTGCTGTGCGTCTTTTTCTCACCGGATCCTGAACACCTCCAAGGGATAGGAGGGCCTTAATTATCTCTGCAGCCCCAGTTCCTGCTTTAAACAAATTATTTCTTGAGCCCTCATCATGTGCCAGGCCCTGGGCTAGGGATGTAAGGTCAGCAGAACATTCTCTTGTGAAGCTTACACTGTTAATAGATCGTGTAATCCCACTAAATACATCCCAGCAAATGAAGATCAGCAGTGGAAAAGCACAGGTGGTTATGAAGTGATCAGCGAAGGTTTTCTTGAGAAAATGACATTCAAGGCTCGGCGCCTGTAGCTCAAGAGGCTAAGGCACTGGCCATATACACCAGAGCTGGTGGGTTCGAATCCAGCCCTGGCCTGCCAAACAACAATGACAACTACAACCAAAAAATAGACAGGCGTTGTGGAGAGTGCCTGTAGTCCCAGCTACTTGGGAGGCTAAGGCAAGAGAATCGCTTAAGCCCAGGAGTTGGAGGTTGCTATGAGCTGTGATGCCTTGGCGCTCTACCCAGGGTGACAGCTTGAGGCTGTGTCTCAAAAAAAAAAACGAAAATGACATTCACATTAAGACCTGTAGGATGAATAGCAATAAACCTGGCAGAGAGAGGGAAGAGCATCTCAGCTGGAGGGAACATGCGTGAAGGTCTTCCACTAGGAATGAGCTCAGAGTGATGGGGAAACCGCAGACAGGTCAGTGTGACTGAAGCAAAGGTAGATGGGGCCAGAGGAGGCTGTGAAGGTCAGCTGGGGTCAGAGCACTGAAGGTCTCATAGGGAATGTTAAGAATTTTGAACTTAGCCAGGTACAGTGGGTCACACCTATAATCTTAGCACTCTGCAGGGCTAAGGTGGGCAGGTCACTTGAACTCAGGAGTTCAAAACCAGCCTAATCAGCAAGAGTGAGACCCCATCTCTACTAAAAATAGAAAAACTAGCCAGGTGTGGTGGTGTCAGGTGTGGCACATATAGTCCCAGCTACTGGGGAGGCTGAGGCAAGAGGATCACTTGAACCCAGGAGTTTGAGGTTGTTGTGAGCTATGATGATGCAACGACACTCTACCCAGGGTGATAGAGTGACTCTGTCTAAAAACTTTCATCTGGGACAGCATGGTCAGCATGAAAGGATTTTTGTGAGCACTAACATCGTTGTGTGTAGGGACGTGTGTGTGCACACAGGAACCCAAGGCTGGTGGGAGGCAGGAGCCCAGAAATAGATTTTCTCAGGCCAGTACTCCGTCTCTGTTTTGCTTTTTCCAGCTTCTGCCATTTCTGTCCAAGCTTGAAGGCCACCAATATTGCCATGGACACCAGAATGGACCCAGGAAGCTTGGAGTTTGGCACAGCCAGGAAGATTGTCTACAGAGCTGCCTGGGATTCTCCCAACCTGGCTTTTCACCAGGTACTTCCCCTCTCACCTCAGGCTTCTCGGGCACTTCCAGTCTGGTCTGTGGAGGGGCCTTGACAGCAATCACCGTCTGCTCCTTAAAGTTGCCAACAGCACGGATATCCTGGTAAGTCACATAGGCCAGTGTAGGAGCAGGAGAGTCAAGAAAAGTGACGGGTCAAAATTCACACCCCTAGCCTGCTAGGCATGGCCTTCACCTACCTCTCCTAAGCCTCTGAACATCACATCCTCACTCTGTGTGCATCTTAGAAATAACTGACATCGGTAAGCTAGACTTTCAATACTATAAACTAACCCTGGATCCCTTTAGAAAGCAAATGAAGGCTTTCATTAAAAAAATGCTACCTTAGGGCAGCGCCTGTGGCTCAAAGGAATAGGGCGCAGGCCCCATATGCCGGAGGTGGTGGATTCAAACCCAGCCCCGGCCAAAAACTGCAGAAAAAAAAAAAAGCTACCTTACAGCAGCTTTATATGTGAAGGCTTCATCTCTCAAATTAGATTAGCTTTAAGAAGGCAGGAATATTTGTCTATATTTATGCTTTTTTTTTCTTTGGCCAGAGCTGGATTTGAACCCGCCACCTCTGGCATATGGGGCCAGCACCCTACTTCTTTGAGCCACAAGTGCCGCCCTGTTTATGCTTCTGACAATGCCTAGCATCTTTCTAAAAATACAGGGTCAGATCCAAAACCCAATTAGACACCAAATCATTTGGTGAAATGATACCAAATACACAAAAGAACCTTAGTAAAGTCCAAGCTCTTTGACCTTACTATTTCAATCCTAGGGCTCGGCGCCTGTGGCTCAAGTGGCTAAGGCGCCAGCCACGTACACCCAAGGTGGCGGGTTCAAATCCAGCCCGGGCCCGCCAAACGACAA